AGACAGTGCTCAAACAAAGCTCTCAGGAGCACCCCAACTGTAGGATACCTTCTCCTAAGGAGAACTGTCGGATCCTCCGTAACTCTCATTTAAACATCAGTCTTCTAGTAATTGGGAATGCCATCTTGTTTTCTTGTTTTGCATTTATATCACCTTCCCTGTTTGAAGGAGGAATATTTACACATCAAAAACAAATCAAACCATTCAGCAGAACTCTTTACTGTTCTAGTTTGCACAGATGAATTTTAACATTTCTTATCCATCTCATAAACACAAGATCCATCCCATAAAGACAGGAGCTGAGAAATACCTGATTGCAGATCTAACTGGTCAGAGACAGCTCTGACCCAAAGAACTGTGTTGCCAATACAGTATTTCCTTTCAGGAATGGGCCTCACTGTTCCTAGTTTCCCAAAATTATATCTGAAAGCCACTTTTCCTGAATAAACAGGCTGAATTCACCTGTTTTTTTAGGGGGGGGGGGGGCTGAGGAATAAGGGCACAGTGGGGAGCCTCTAAATATGCCAGAATGAAAGATTCATTCATTCTGCTAATGAGCTGATACCTATATGTCAGTTATTTCAGACATCAATAAGCTACACTTCACCAGGATTTAAGCATATCCCGGTTTCACACATGTAGAATCCCCAAAGAACCCAAAAACTCATTTCTACTTGAATAGATTTTTCAACCACTACAGACAGGAAAAAAAATAAGAGGGTGGCATTATGTGCTTCTCTGCAAAGACTGTATTTAACATCTATGGAACACTGGAGCCACATTTGAAAAACCAAATTACAGGATTGCTAGTCTGGATAGTTTATGCAAATCTGTATGGGTGGCAACTATTTATACCTGGAGGCAAGCCCCATCCTTCAACAGGACTTGCTCCCTAGTAAGCATGCTCAGGATTGCAGCTTCGGAATTACTTCATTTCTAATTATAATTTTAGTCGCTTTAAACCTGATGAAGGTGAACTTGAGACATGTAGCCCATCTTACATGTTTATATAGAAAAAAGTCCTTTGTTCCAAGCATTCCAGACAAGGCTGCTCCATTTACTTAATATTTGATATAAGCATAAATGTGCTTTAGAGCAAACAGGAAGCACCAGTGCCTCATGCTTCCTGTTCTGGCAAGACAGTCTTCTGCAGAATAGATTTTTCACTTCTCCCAGCACTCATCATCACTTACAATACAAAGCCATCCCAAGTGCTCATGGGAGAAGGCTCATAAGACTCCAGTTGTCACTCACTCAGAAGAGGCACACGGTGTGCAAGTGGAACTCTAAGCGTTCAAAAGCACAGGCTGGTGCTGTGTTGTGTCAACAGTCCCCCAAACAGTATAAATAGAATTAACACCAAGAATATTTTTATAACAGAAAGGTGGGCATGTGTTTACTGAAGAACTCGTAGCCTGAATGAAGGTCCAGAATGTTAAGAACCACATCACTAACCCAGTTCAATTGACAGACCCAGTGAATTCCAATCTGCTTTGCATTCACATGGACACATCAGACCATTGGCCCACCAAGGTCAGTATTGTCTACTCAGACTGGCAGCAGCTCTCCAAGGAGTCAGGCTGGCAGCTGCTCTTTCACATGAGCTTGATCCTTTTAACTGGAGATGCTGGGGACTGAACCCAAGGCATTTGCATGCAAAGCAGACGCTCTGCCACTTAGGCACAGTCCCTCCCCCTGAATCGCCAAATTACAACCATCAGCATGTACAGAAGCATTCTAAGTGCTTACGGGAGAAGCCTCTCCCCTCTAGAAGCAAGCTGACCTCCTTTTCTACCAGCCAGCAAGGGGGCATGGAGTCCCAAGCAACTGCAGACCATTCCCACAACTAAACTATCAACAATCAGACTGTAGGCAGTGTTTTAAGCAAAGGGGCCAGTTTAGTCACTCTGATGCAAATCCAACACATGGTCCAACTGCAGAGCCACATGGGCAATCCTAGCCATGCTGCACCACAGTACATCAGATATGGAATCACTTCTGCCTGAAGCACAACTCAGTCTCGATTTGCTCAAATCACACTCTCACTGTGTCAGTTTGGATGTGTTACCACCAGTGTTCCCTCTAAGCACTGCGTGTGAGTGGCTGTTCATTAACGCAGGAAGCCCTGCTCAGCAGCAACCTGGAGCCACACAGAGTCTTGCACTGCCCATTGCCCACTTTGAACTGCGCTGTTTTTTTCTCCCCGGAAGTGGACTTGCCCACCGGGGGGGGGGGGGGATTAGAGGAAACATTGGTTACCAGACTTACGTCTTGTGTGACCAAAGCAAGTCAACAGGAAACCACAAGACACTGTTCTAAATCCACTGATTTCAACAGTCTTAGAAGGATGTAATTCTGCCTAGGATCACGTTTCTTTCTAAAAACACCCCGGATTACAATAAGATGACACTGAAGAACCAGTCTGAACACCTACAGATACCAAGAGTGTCTTGCCTTTTCCAAAGTCTAAATGAGATTATTTTTAGGCAAGGTGTGTGTCTATGCGTGAACTGCAATTTAACAGCAGCACTATGTAGTGTTGCAAGAAACTAGAGCCTGGACTCAAACAGCCCCTCTGATCTCACCTCTCAACTGTTAACTCAGCCTCATCCCTCCTTCTCATAGTATTGTACAAGGGCCCCAGTCACACGGGCCGGATATTGCAGGGGGGAGGCATGGCTAATTGCCCCGGCGCAGTTTGATCCGCGATTACGCGATCAGATGCATTGGGGGCACACCACCGGTCCTTCCCTCGACGCCGGCGGGTAAACGAGGGACTGGAGGAGAATGCCGTGCACTGGCGCTATCACACCATGGGCGTCTGGAGGCAGCCCGTGGCAAACATTTACTAGAACCTTGGAGGTACTAGTTTTTTAACACGCACTGTCGGCTGTGTGATCGCACCCAGATAATCCGCCCACCATCCGTGCCTCTCCCGTGGCAACTTTGCCGTGTGACTGGGGCCTAGGTTAGGTTTCCATCAGCTGCAAGAAGTTAATTCCCACTGGAGGAATCCTTTCCCTTAAATGGATACAAGCATTCAGGCAAATTAGTGAAATGGGGGGGGGGAGTCAGGGATCATGAGGATAAACAAGTAAATACAAGGTAAAGAAAGGGTGGCATGCGCTCACAAGGCAATCCTCCTTCCTTCCCCCACTCTCCATACCACATCTGTCTATGTAATCCCCACTATTCTTCATCCTCCCAATGGTTTATTTCAGGGCAAGCCTTCCCATTAGGCAGGATTAGGCTGCCTACTTTAGGCAGCAGGTTTTAGGGGGTCCTTAACGAGGAAACAAATTATCAGCTGGACAGACTTCAGATCAGGGAAGACACTCTACACACAGCAAACTGAGATAGTATAATGGACTGTGCCATTTCAGACTGCAGTTTGAGGGTCCACTTTCTTCACCTACACAGCACTCAAAGAGCTAGATAAGAACCCTCACATGGGCATGTAGAACTTCCTTATAACCAAGTCAGCCCAATGTCTAGAAAGGTCAGTACCATCTTTAACAGGCATTGTTTCTCCAGGTCTCAGGTAGAGGGTTATCATCTAGTAACTGTTCCTCTATAGTGGAAATGCTGGAGATTGAACCTGAGACTTCTGCATGTAAAGCAGAAGCTCTGCCCCGACCCTTATGGCATTCTAATTTGGGGGGGGGGGGCTGGGGCAGGGTAGCAGAGCATCTGCCTGGCATGTAGAAGTTCCCATGTTCAATAATTTCCTGGCATTCCAGTTACAAGAATGAAGTAGCAGGTGATAAGAAAGACCTCTACTTAGCACCCGGAGTGCAGTGCCAGTCTGAGTGGACAATACCGACCTTGATGAGATGATCTGATTTGGTATAAAACAATTTCTTGAAATCAGAATTTTTACACGAGGGAGCACTAAAAATGAGAATGTTGCAGGCAACGGCAAACCACCTCTTGCCTTGAAAACCCTACAGGGACCCCGATCACATGGGCTGGATACTGCAGGGGGAAGCGTGGCAAATTGCCCTGGCGCAGTTTGATCTGCGATTATATGATCTGATGTGCCAGTGGCACACCACAGGTCCTTCCCTCAGCACCGGCGTGTAGATAAGGGGCAGGAGGGGAAAGCCGCGCGCTAGCACGATCACAGCGCGGGCATCCAGAGGCAGCCCGTGGCAAACCGTTTGCCAGTACTTTGGAGGTACTACTTTTTTTATTGTGCATTTTTGGCGGTAAGCCACGGGTGCGCTCCACTTCCCAGATGTTGGGGTGTGATCGCGCACGGATAATCCACCCACCACCCGTGGCAAATTTGCTGTGTGAACGGGGCCAGGGTCACCCTAAGTCAGCTGTGACTTGATGGCCCTTTCCACCACCACCATTACAGGATGAAGCACTACAGCCCATTCTACCACCTCAGAGTCCTATGTGCTTATACTCTTGCATTCAGTCCTGATTTGCAACGAGAAGAGAATAAGGTGGTAAATTGTAAAAGGGACAGACTGGCCTCTACCACTTTACGCTGCATGTCCTAAAGCCCCCCCCCCCAATAATTCCTTGCAAGAGGAAAACTAGCACAGAATACTACAAAGTACAAACTAAGCTTACAATCCCTCTCGCATAGGTACTATTTTTCAACCTTTTTAGATGGGGGAGCGTGAAAAAGGTGCCCCCCTCCCACCCGCAGTCAGAAGCAGCAAAGCCCATTCTGCCCTCCCCCAGTTCCCAGAATTGTTGCAAAGATATACCGAGGAGCCCTGTAGACTAGGCCGAAGGGAACCGAGGCAGCTAGCGGCGACCTGCTGAAGGCCAAACTAGCCAATTTGTGGCGGAGTCGACCTTCGTGCCAGGGGCTTCCTGGCCTGCCTCTCGCGCGAACCCGCTAACGGGAAGGGTCCCGGGGCTTCATATGGACTTGAAAGTCCTCGGCGTGCCGAGGCAGGGGAGTCGCTCCGCTGCCTAGAGTGCGTTGGCTGCTACTCCCCCACCATCACGTGAAAAAGCAGACGTGTGAACCCGCTCACCCTCACCCGGAGACAGCCCCTCGGGGCCCTGCAGCCCCGCCGGCACCTCGCCGTTCTCCAGGATGTTGTAGCCTTCGTCATTTTCGATGCCCGCGATCTCGTTCTCCTGCTGGGCCAGGAAGGCGGCGGCCGGGTCCTCTTCGCCGCCGCCCAGCGTCCCGTTGCCCGCCGGCTGGGGCGCGCCGAACAGATCGAACTCGGCCATGGGCGAAAAGGAACGGGGGGGCGGAGCCAACCGAAGTAACGGCCGCGGGCGAACGAGGAAAGGCAGCGCTCGAGGCGGAACCAGCCGTTCAACGGTTCCTGAGGAGGAGGCGACAGCGGCTACTACTTCCGGCCTCCGCGCGGAGCTCGCTCAGCCCGTCAAACCTTTCCCTCCGCCCTTTTACCCGCACGTCCCCGGAAAGTTCTCTGAGCGACGGCAAGAACCCGCCAACCAAATGGGGACAGGAGGGCGTCCGCGAGCCAGTCGTCACCCGGGGGAGGCGGGCTTTCTAATACACGCTGTCGAACCAACGTGACTTCTCTTCTCCCCCTCCCTTCCTCTTCTCTCTGCGTGCGCCGAAGAAGCGCCGTGGCCAATCAGCACCCTTCCCCCCCCTCGCTTGGGGGGGGGCGTGGCATGGATAGGTCGCGTGCGGCAGAGTCAATGAATTGAAGAGTCCCGCACAGGCAGGGATTTAGTTCTGTACACCGTTGGGGGAGTCCGACGTGGTTGGGAAACGCGCGCATCCCGGAAAAGGGCAGCATTAGCCGAACTCACACGTGCCACGTTGAAGGCGCTTTGTAGCCTTGCACGCCCTTTCGGAGGGCACGTGTGAAAAACAGGCAGGTTTAACTGCATGAGTTGTCGGAGCCTTGTTCACCTTACAGTGAACATCTTGCCTCTGTTGCGTATGCATCTGTTTGTAATCGCCCACAGCCTATAGTGTCAAAATAAAACCGGAGGACCAGTGCCTGGATAAATGGAGGTTTTAAATTCCAGGTTCGAGCTGTGTGTGGAATGTCACGTGGGAAGTACTCGGTGCCTCAACACAGGAAAAAACAATTGGACAGCACTTTATGTGGGTTGTTGGTGTGCCCACTCCTAATTTGCATAGGGCTGTTTTTGCAGTATGGAAAACAGAAAGATGGTGTAAGGTCTCTCTTAATCTTCATATTGAATAAAATTCTCTTTGTGGACCGTCATTACAGGTGTGGCATTATCACTCCTTCATGTGGCCTGGAAACCCCTTGTCTTTGCTGAATCCAGTCATGAGCATGTGGGGATAATATATTTGCCTGTATTATTGTAATCTTATGTCAACAGATGCTGCCATGGGTGATGCCAGGATTTGCCTGTCCTCCAGGACTGTCGGAGCCAAAAAAGCCAGACTCATGAAGTCGCCTGTTAGGAAGAGATTAAAATATGTGTACAGGAAGTTCAACGGCCACTTTCGGCTTAGTCTGGGTTTGTACATGAGGCAGAAGGAGGTGAGAACAGTGTCTGAGGGAGCAGAACAACCTTCAGGAGGCTGCTGGGAGCACCAGATTTGAATGCTCACCTGTGTGGGGAAAAAATACAAGCAAAAAAACTAGGCCAGCAGTTTCTGGCTCTGGGTAGGTCCATTCTTTAGGCACACCTAGGAGACTGCCTAGGATGCCAGAGGTGATGGGGTGCCAAGAGCAGCCTTGTCACTGCCTCATCCTCCTGCAGTCTTTTCCCAGTACTGTTTTTGCCTCCCAGTTTGCCCCTGTCAAGCAGTGTCGGACCTCCCCAAGCCACAGCCCCTGGCCAGTGGGGACAGTTTCCCTGTGGCATGGGACAGGGATGGGAAAAGTCATGTACTTAGGGCACCAAAAACCCTAGGGCTAGTCCTGATCTGGTCCAGCCCCCCTTTCGCCCTGATGTCATGCTTTTCTGCTTGCAAGGTGTTTATGAAATGCCCTCTTGCTGTCTGAAATGGGACAGTCTTAACCTACCACTGAGACTGTGCCACCACTCTGGCACTTCATTCTTCTGGAAGGGTAGATCTACCCTAAGAATGTGTACATAAGAAAAGATTTCTCGGGACTTGGATGCGGTGGATGTGTTCGTTTTCCGCATTGTCTTTTGGTCAGATTGGTTTTGCAGGTTTTTGTAGGACTTTGAGCTAAAACCTGGAAGCCGTATGTAAAAGGATCACATAGTCATGCGCCCCAGCATGGTGTAATGGTTAGAGTGTTGATCTCAGAGACCCAGGTCCTCTGTCCTGGAGGCTTCCTAGGTGACCTTGCGCCAGTCACACACTCTCAGCCTAACCTACCTCACAGGATTGTTCTTGTGAGGATAAAATGGAGGATAATGTTGCAGAATTTGGGGTTATGTGAGCCTGGGCCTTTGTGTTCTTCTATGCTATGTAAGTTTTGCTCTAACTGACTTTGGTTTCTTGGTTCTGAAGTCCCATGAGACTTTGTTTTTTTGCTGTCAGCCTAGGCATAAAACTGAGGGCCTTGCCCTGTAAATGCACTCTTGCCTGAATTCGTATCTGACATTCCCCGTTCTCCAAGTGCCAGGCTCCAACCCTAAACATATACCGCTGTGGAGATGCCATAGCTGTCTGGGTCTTGCTAACATCGCAGTTAATAAAATATATCTAGGCAAAAGTTCACCCTAGCAAACGGTGTTATCACCATACGGTGGGCTAGCCTAGTACATTCCGGATTGACGCCTCCATTGGTTCCTATAGACTGGAAAGGGTATAAAAATGTGGCTTTGGGCTTTGTTCTGGACTGTTCGGCCAATCCCCCACCGGTGTGCATAAGGGTCTTTGTCCTGCAGTCCAGGAATGTTCCTTGTGCGTCCTAAAAGTGTACACTGTATCAGCTATTGATTGACTTTTATATGTTATTGAGTATTACTTGTGTATGGCTTCATCAAAGAGTTACAGTTTGCGTTTTAAGCTGTTGTTCTCTCTGGGTCTTTCTATCCTGGTTCCCTAGAATAAGAAAGAAGCCTGATAAAGGGCCAGTATTAAAAACCTAGTGTAAACTTATTATATACAAAAATACATGTATTTATTAGAAAGTTAGAAACATATAAGGGCCCAGTGAAAGCCTCGTTACACAGTGCAAGTGACCTGAACACAAGGGCCAATACCAGTGCCAATACAAACCTTCTCTGAAGAAGGCCCCCAAGGGGCAGAAACGCATCAGGTCACTGGTATTGACCCTTGTGTTCAGGCCATTTGTACTTTGTAAGCAGGCTTTCATTGAGCCCTTATATGTTTTTAAATGTCTTTCTAATAAATACATGTATTTTTGTATAGAATAAGTTTACACTAGGTTTTTAATACTGGCCCTTTATAGGGCTTCTTTCTTAGCCTTGTGGTTCTTGATTCCAGTTATTGTTCCCTTAGCCTGTCTTCATCCATCCACTGAAAAGAACCCGACAGGGTTTGGGATATTCCCCCACAGAGAACAGTATAAGCTGCTTTGGGTCCTCGCTGGGGAGAAAAGCAGGCTATCAATGAAATAAACAAACAAATAAATGAAGCATTTCACGGGGGGGGGATGAGTTTCTCCAGAAGAATGAGTTTCTCTGCCATGAAACCTTGGGCCAGTCGCACTTTCAGCCTAAATCTACCTGACAGGGTTGTTGTGAGGATAAAACAGAGGAGAAGGGGAACGATGGAAGCTGCTTTCGGTCCCTTTCAGTATAGAAAGGTAGGAAATAAGTACATGCGTAGTTGGCTAGGTTGGAAGTTGCCTATTCAATGTCCTGTCCCTTTAACAGGGGCTTAATGTGTGGAAATGGGCAGCTGAAGCTTTTTCAGTGGCATGGCACTAAATAACTGACATCTGGTAAATAACATCCTATTATGTCTCTGTTAACGGAACAGGATATCCCCACCACCACCACCGTTGGCAACCATGTATAAACATTAATTGTATGTAGTTACTCAGTTACTCCTCCCTGCTGAAGACATTACAGATCTCTGGTCCTGGGAGGGAACAGCTAAAACGGACCCCACCTAGCAGCTGGTATTACAGAGCCAGCAAAGCCGCAGGGAGCGGATATATTGGGAGGGAACAATAAAATGAATATTGCCATTTAAAAAAACCCAAACCCTGTAATCTGCTTTAAAGATCTTATGGCTGAAAACTAATAAGTAACCCACTTGTTACTCTCAGACAACTTTCAATCCAAATGGCTGAGAGCAGTTCATAATAAATTATATGAGCTTGGTTTTTCCCCCCAAGCGATTTTGAGTATGCATTGGGATGTAGCAAAATCAGCCCTAAAACAGAGAATGATGGACATGGAGAGACAGACAGATCTCAGTAGATGTCCTAAGTTTAGAGCCCCAGATTCTGTCAAATATCGCTTGCAACCCATGTCCTATTTATCACAGCTTGATAC